GGGGGCAGGGTGGGCAAAGTCAGGAGGGCCAGCACCAGGGCACCCCCCCCCCAGGCATCAGAGGTGTCCACCTCTCCCTGGAGAGAAGGGGAGGAGTCTCTGTCATGAGGTGGGTTAAGTCTACAACCAGGTAGAAGGATCATCAAGTGAACTGAACATGCCTCCACTGCCTACCCTTTGCTGGCTGCCAGTCCTCCTAGGAGCTCTGGATGATAGAAGCCTAATGGGAGGTGTGTGTGAGTCGGGGGCAGGGGGACACAGGTCAGACAATGAGAACTGGGCAATGACCTGGAGAGGGCAGTTATGGGATGGAGTGAGGGGTCAGCTAACAGACTTAAAGATCAGGACTTGAGTTGGCATCCTTGGGGGTATAGGGCCTTTGGGGAACCAGGGGCCACCCACCTTTCCACGCCAACATGGATGTGGCCACCATGGAAAGTGTGGAGGAAGCCTTGGACCAGTGTGGCCCACTGCAGGGCAAAGGAGGCTAGAAGGAAGGTGAAACCCACGCTGCTGAAGCCATATCGCTGCAGGAAGACCATGAGGAACCCAAAGCCCACGAACACCATGGCATGCACATCCTGGAAGCCTATGAGGAGGAGAGGGTATGGGGGTGGCATGATGAGGCCTGCTCCAACTAGTCACAGCTTCCAACTAACAGATACCCTGCCAGTGCCTGGCTCCTCCAGCCAGGGCTGCCCTGAAGCAGCTTCTGCCTGTAAAAATTCCCCAGGCATGTGGGGCTCCCACCCACCTTGAGCAGGCTAAACTGAACATCTCTCCAAACTCCTTTAAAAATCACTTTTAAACCATCTATTTTAATTTTATATGTATGAGTGTTTTCCTGAATGTATGTATGTGCATCACATTTGTGCCCTGGTGCCCTTGGAAGCCAGAAGAGGGTGTTGGATTCCACGGAACTGGAATTACAGATGGTTATGACACCTGGGTGCTGGGAACCAAACAAGTAAGCACTCTTAACCACTGAATCGTCTCTCCTGCCCCCTATACTTTGAATTTTTTGTTATATACCAATTACTTGCTTTGTTTAGACAGGATTGCACTGTCTAGTTGGCCTCAAACTACTCTCTAGCTTGTGCCTTAGCACGCCCCCCATCCTACCCCTTCAGCCTCCCTCTTGACCTCCTTAGTGAGTACTGGGATCACAGGCATGCTGACTACACCTGGTCAGAATTTCTAGAATCTTTTAGGGTATCAGTGGATTTTTTGATAGGAAGACTTTGGGCCTTTTCTGTTTGCTTTCTGTTCTGAACCACTGTCCTAGTTTGTTTCTTCATTGCTGTGACAAAATACTCTGACCCATGCCAGCTGGGGGGAGGAAAGGGTTTATTTGGCTTACATCTCCTAGGTCACAGATCATCAGGGAGCTCAAGGAAGGAACTCAGGGCAGGAACCGGAGGAATGCTGCTTGCTGGCTTGCTCTCCTGGCCCCTGCTCAGCTTGCTTTCTTATGCAACACAGGCCCATCTGCCCAGGGCTGGCACCACCCACAGTGGGCTGGGCCCTCCCACATCACACAACAATCAAGAAGATGCCCTACAGACATGGCCACAAGCCAGTTCAATGGAGGCAATTCCCCAATTGAGGCTCCCTCAACCCAGGTGTGTCAAGTTGACACTAAAGCTATCCAGCACAGCCACTCTGCCCAAAAACCAGTACAAATAATACACAGTAATACTGAAAATAAACACAAGTGAGCTGTTGAATAATTAGTTGTATAGAATCAGCATTCAGGAGTTGGGAGGTGGCTTAGTGGACAAAAGCACTAGCCACACAAGCAAGCCTAATGATTCCAGAACTCACATAAAAAGTCAGATACAGTAGTCTGTGTCTGTAGTCCCAGCTTTCCTACAGTGAGATGGGAGGCAGAGACAGGAAAATTTCCCAACAGTTTATAGGCCAGCAGCCCAGTGGCAGAAACAAGAGAGACCCAGCCTCATACAAAGTGGAAGACAGAAACCTACAACTGAAAATTGTCCTCTGACCTTACATGTATATACATACATACATACATACATACATATATACATACACATTTTTTTAAAAGACTCAGCATTGTGCCAGGTATGGTTATGCACTCAGGAGACAGAAGCAGGTGGGTCTTTGTGAGATCGAGGCCAATCTGGTCCACAAGTTGTGGGGAGACCCTGTCTCAAAAAAAAAAGAATCAGCATTGAACCAGGCTTGAGCTTCTATTCTAGCACTTACAGGATTGCTGCAAGTTCAAAGCTAGGCTACAGAATAAGATCCCGTCTCAAAAAAACAAAACATAAACCAGAAAAAAAGCCAGTGGGCTGGAGAATGGCTCAGCAGTTAAGAGCACTTGCTGCTCTTGCAGAGAACCTGAGTTCAGTTCCCAGCAACCACATGGCAGCTAAAACTGTCCAGAACTCCAGTTCCAGGAGTTCTGATGCCCTCTTCTGGTCTTTGAGGACATTGCACAAATGTGATGTACTTAATATGCATGCATACAAACACTCATACACATAAAATAAAAATAAATAAATCAAAAGTAAAGTTTTTAGGCCTTTAATCCTAGCACCCAGGAGGCAGAGACAGGCAGATCTCTGTGAGATCCAGGCCAGCCTGGTCTACATAGTGAGTTCCAGGCCACCTGGGGCTACAGGGACACCCTGTCTCAAAAGGCATACATCATCACACCTAGCTAAAAAAAAATTTGGTTTTTTATTTTGTTTTTTTGAGACAAGGTCTCCTTATAGCCCCAGCTGGCCTGGAATTCACTATGTAGACTAGGCTGACCTTGAACTCAGAGATCCACCTGCCTCTGACTCCCAAGTGCTGGGATTAAAGCTGTGTGAAACCATGCCTGGCTTAAAAACAAATTTAAAAATAAAAAATAAGCATGCACAAAAGCCCCCCTGACAAAAGTCCTTGCTGTAAATGTCTGGTCAGGTTAAGTCCCACTTCTTTTCATACTCCACATGAGAAACATACTCCAAATGAGAAACATGTTTCCCACATGTATGTGACAGAGGTGCTAAGCACCTGTAGATGAGGCTCCTGAGTTCAGCTGCCACCTAGGAAGTCAATTTCTGCTCTCAGAGATGAAGCCAGACAGGAGAATCAGCCCATACATACAGTGTTCCCCACTCCAATGAACAAGTAGGACTTTCTAGTATTGGCCTTTTTTCTTGGCTGCATGGAAGCTTGGAGCTAAAGTCTCAAGTGTCACAAGTGTAGGCTTCTACAAGACAGATTCCTTACTTCAGACAGTATGCTTTGTTTCTCTGTGTTTCTTTCCTTATGTAGGTTAAATATCTCTAATCCCCAAACTGGACACCCAAAATGCTCCAAAATGAGAAACTTTCAAGCACAAAGTGATGCCACAAGTGGAAAATTCCACACCCATGCACGGCCGCATCTAAGAGGCTGTTATCAAAACACAGGTAAAGTAAACATGCTACATGAAACTGCCTTCAGGTTGCTTGCATACGGTGTGTATGAATCATACATAGATTTCTTGCTTAGACTCTCCTCAAGGTATTTCATTATGTATACATAAATAGTCCCCAAACAAAAACACTTCTAGGCCAAAGAACTTCCATAAAGAATATTCACCTTATATATATTTTATAAAAATTGACCTTGAATTTATTTTTTTAATATTTTATTATTTTTATTTTACATATATGAGTGTATTGCCTGCATGTATGTAAGTGCATACATGTCGTGCACTGCCTATGGAGGTCATAAGTGGCTGTTGGATCCCCTGGAACTAGAGTTATAGATGGTTGTTAGCCACCATGTGGGTGCTAGGATTCAAACCTGGGTCTTAACTGCTGAGACATTTTTCTAGCCCTAACTTTGAATTTCTTATAGAAAGAGCAGATTCTTTTTTAAAAAATTTATTTATTAATTTCATTTCCTGTGTATTGCCTGCATGTGTGTAAGTACACCAGTGCTATGCAATGCCCACAAAGATCAGAAGTGGGCTTCCCCTGGAACTGAAGTCACAGACGGTTGTTATCTGCCATGTGGGTGCTGGGAATCCAAAATGGGCCCTCTGCAAGAACAGCTGAGTCATCTCTCCAGCCCCGAAAGAACAGATTCTAAAGTCAGGGTTTTTTGCTTGTTTGTTTGATTTGAAGAAGCACAGCAAGCTAGAGGGCTGCCATTGAACTTTGGGATACAGACAAGAGCTCTGAGAGAAGTGACCACTTGTGTTGCTTTGGAGTCTTCTGTGTAAGAAGGAAAGGAGTTTTGAGCAGAGATGCACTTGTCCCTACAATTTTGGCTCTGCAGCTACAGCAGCTTCAGAGGCTGTGGTCTAGGAGGCATCTGTCCTCCATCCTCAGTGCACCCAGTTCTTCCAGAGTCACCTAGATCATACAACCAGCAGAAACAGAGGGCCACACTCAGCACTCAGCTGAAGCACAAACTCTTTGAGACTCTCTGCCTGTCTTCTTTTCTCCTTGTTCATTGAAAAGGAGCCCTGTCTGTACTTGTCCAAGAACAGCAAGATAAGAAAGGGGACTGGGTAGCTGGCCTCCAAGACCTTTCATGCAGGAACTTTTCCAAACTGCTCTGAACTTGTTTTAAATGCCACTGTTTGCATTGAAAACTCAATCCCAGCTAGACAGGGTGGTGCATGCCTGTAATCCTGCCACTCAGGAGATTGAAGCAGGAGGAGCAGAAGTTTAAGGTCAGCCAGCCTTGGCTACATAATGAGTTTGAAGTCAGCTTGGGCTACATCGAAACTGTGTCTTAAAAAACAAAACAAAACAAATAAAGGCTATTAGGGCCACCCACTGCCTTCCTTCGCTCCCTTGCCAGCCAACTGTCTCCTGACAGGGTGAGACTATAAGACAAGCAAGGCAGCAGTTAAAGCTATACCTTCAGCATCGGATGCAGCTGACCTTGTGACCTTGAACAAGCCACTTAGCCCCTCTGAGCTTCAGTGCCCTTCTCTGGAAATGATGTACATAAAGCATGAAGAGGCAGGGAGAAATATCCACCTTCCCAGACATCCTTCCACCCCAGCTTCTAGAAGACAGGCTGAATCCTCCCAAAGCAGATCACAGTCCCAACCTTTGCCTCACCCAAGCCCCCAAGCTGATCCTGCTTGCTGTGATGAATCCCCAGCATGAGTCAGGCCTCTCCAGAGTCTGAAGGGCACCTTCCTCCTTTTTTCTTAGAACCCTTTCTCAGGCTGCTCTGTGGTTCTTTTCTCTTATCGCCCATCATTCCCCTTGTGGAATACAAACTTTTAGCCAGGCACAATGGTGCAAACCTGTAATCCAGCATTTGGGAGACTGAGGCAGGAAAATGGTAAGTTTGAGGCCAGCCTGAGCTATGTAGTGAGACTCTGCCTAAAAGATAAGTCAAGGCCAGGCAATAGCCTTGCAGTGTGCTAGGAAGCCTCTAGATGGGGAATCAAAGAGGCCTGGTTCTAGTCTCGTACTTTTTGTAACTTGTGTGATCTTGAGCAGGTCAGTGGCCTTTCTGGCTCTCGCCCCACATCTGAGAGGTGAACCAGATGAACTCTGAGGGCCCCTACTGCACAGATAACAGACAACCCCCTTAGAGTAGCCATGCTGGGGCCTTGGCCAGTCTCATTCTCAACAGGAGCCACAGAATCCTTTCATCTCCTGAATCAAAGGGTGGTGGTTGTCCCTCCCTCTGGCCTTGACCCTTTCCTCTGAACAGAGGGATAGGTGAGGGCCCGGCTCATCAAAGCCCCAGGCTTTAGGAACCTCATACCTCTCTCCTACCCAGCCTGTCCTCACAACTGGGTCAAAGTCCACAGAGATGGACACCCGGGCAGAGAGAGGCAAGAATTCTACTATGGTCCCTCTTTTGCCCTCTGGCGGGGGGCGGGGGGGCGAGGAGAACCCAGCACTGTAGCAGCAACAAAGGGTTGGAGGCCCTAGCTGAAACTGTTCCTGGCCGTAGTCAGGTCAGACTGGGAACCAAAGCTTGCCTCCCTTACTTCTCTTACATTCTCTCCCAATTCCCTGTCTCTCTGGACAGATAATGGTCCAACAGTCTGTGGCCAGCTTTTAGCCTCTGGCTTTGATCCCAGCTTCCATGGCCTATCTTTGCCAGCCAGAGCTGTGGAGAGGGAGAGCTATACCCCATTCTGTACTAGTTGGCTGGGAGTCTTGTGCTTCCTACCCCACTCCAAGTCTTCCCACCCCTCTATAGCCTCAGTGTTGTGAACTTTATCTTGGGGACAGTCTGCCACCAGCTCTGTTGCAGAAAGTCAGATAGTAACAGTGTAGCTGCTTTATAGGGGTCTCTTGCACCCAAGGCCTTGTTTGAATGTTCCAGTGGCCTGGAACTCACTATGTAGACCAGGCTGTCCTCAGTCTTACAGAGATCCACCTGCCTCTACCTCTCAAGTACTGGGATTAAAGGCATACATCACCATGTCCATCAACTATTTTTTATTTCTTATGTGTATGACTGTTTTGCCTGAATGTATGTAAGTGCATCCATGTTGTGCAAATCCCATAGAGGCCAGAGAGGGTATCAAATCCCCTGTAACTGGAGTTACAGACAGTTGTTTGCTGCCATGTGGGTGCTAGGAGCCGAACCTTGGTCCTCTGAAAGACCAGCCAGTGCTCTTAACTGTTGAGCCATCTCTCCAGCCCCATCCTTTTTGGTTTTGGGGTTTTGTTTTGTTTTGTTTTGTTTTTTGTTTTTTGTTTTTGAGACAGGGCCTAATGTAGCCTAGGCTGGTCTCAAACTCACTATGCAGCCTTGAACTCCTGATCCTCCTGCCTCTACCCCTGAGTGTTGAGATTACAGGAGCCATCACACCCAGTTCTGAGGCATTTCTTCCCTGCTGCTCAGATGGGGAAACTAAGGTTTAGAAAAGATTAGCTTGGAAAGTATGGTATTCTTGGTCCCAGGTGCCCAGCCCCTCAGTTACAAGGCCAGCGCTTCCATTACAAACGTGAGGGAGATGCTCAGTCCCCACTTGGGGGTTTACTCCCCCTGCTGAACCTTGTAAGAAAGAAAGTGACCTTTGATCAAGGAGTTTAGAGTGCCTAAGCCAAACTTCTCCCTCTGCAACCCATCATGACAGTGACATGCAGCCACTCTAGACTCTGTGAGACCTGTTAATGCCCTGTCAAGCCTCTTCTCAGGTTGGCCTTGAGCCCCATGAGCTGGTAAGATGTCTCACTTTCTCTCTGATGCTTGGCTGGCCAGCTTTGGGGTTCTGGAGAGTAATACCTGGACCGAAACTCTTCTTGGAGGATTGTATACGTGGGAGTTCACGCCTAGCCTCACCATCACCTCCTCTAGCACCCTACACCTGTGGAGTTCAGCAGAATTCTTTCTTGTGATCAAGCTGGACCCCTACACAAGGCAATCTGTGTCAATAATGGCTAACAACACCCATTTAGGCTAAATGGGAAGTGTGGCTAGGAAGTGGCTAACACTGGTTCAAACCCCAGCTTCCTTATTTCTGACTGTGTGACCCTGAATGAACCACTTAACTTCTCTGAGCCTCAGACTGAGATAAGGTAACGTGTCATTCTTAGCACAGTGCCTAGTACATGGCAGACACTAGAAACAGGGACTATTTTAAAGCCGAGGCCCTCGTCTCGGTGGGATGGGTGGTGCACACCGCAGATTCCCCCTTCAAGCTCCCCTTCCAACACACCTGGGGCTTCCCACGCCCTCACCCGCACTCACTTGGGTAGCGAAAGTAAAACTCATTGTCCGCATTACTGTGGTTGCCCCAGTGCCATAGGGCGGCGTCGGTTTCGCGGTTGTAGCGAACGAAGACCGCAAAGAGGAGGGCCGTGGCGCCCTGGAAAAGCAGGCACAGCAGCGGTAGGGCCAGGCGCTGGCCTGCGGCGCGGCGGGGAGGCCGGGCCATGGCCTCCGCAGAGTCCGGCTGGGGCTGCTCGCCAGGCTGACACTCCCGGCGCCCGCAGGTGTAGCTGGCGAAGCCCCGCCCACCCGGGCCGCCGCCCCCTGCTTGAGGCTGGCAAGAACTGGACCCGTAGGTCCTGCCTCCCATGGTCCAGCTGCCCCTGGTATTGCTCTTGTTGGGGAAGGTCCTTGGAAGTGATCTTGAAAGGCAAGGTGCCCAGTGATGTGTGATGTTGCCAGGCTGGGGCAGAATTGCAGGACCGGCAGGGGGAGGAAAAAGGGGATCCGCCCCCTCATACTTGGTGTTATGAGTGTCGTCCATGAAACCAGAATCCCTTAGAGGCCATACCTGGTGTCTTCAGGGTACCACAAGCGATGGAAGGGTTAAACGGCTATTTAACCTTTTCCCTGCTGAAAAACACAGATGGAGACTACAGATAAAACACTTGTTTTACAGCCTTGGATGACTAACCAGACCCGACTGAGCCTCAACAGTAGTCCCTTGCAGCCCCACCCGTACAGCACCCTAATCCGCAATCTACCAGTATGGTTGTGAGAGGGCCAGCCTCTCCTGGGGACAGAAGTCCCCGGAAAGTCCACCCTTGTCCTGCCAAACTGCTTCCACTGGAGCCTGGCTGGCAGGAGGGATTGGTCTCAAACTGAGCACTTCCTCCATAGAGATGAAGGGGTGGCTCTACTTCCAGAAACCACTGTCCAGGGTGGACACATATGCTTAGGAGGAAATTTCATTACCCCTGGGTGAAGGTGTGACCTGCAGAAGCGGAGGTTGTGGGGCTGAGGAGGGCTGCAGAGCCCACGGAGTCACAGTGCTATTTTGTACTGGGTGCTGGGCCACTGAAGGGCAGGGATGGTACAGAGATGGCTTGCTGACCCTCTGCCCTTGTCCAGTTCACTCACTTTCTCTTCTTCCTTTTTTCTCTCCCCTCAGGGTCTCGAGCCTCCAGCCTCAGGTGGACTCAGGGGGACACCTAGATTCTAGGTATCCAGTTTCTTGTACTAAGGATCCATCGAGGCACATGAGCAGCAAGGGGTCTGCCTCTGGTGACATGGCTCCCAGCTAGTGCTTCTGGATCCCGTCTAGAAATCCTTCACTCCTTGGTTATCAGGAAGGTGGCTTTCAGGTCTCTGGGGCTAGGGAGATGTCTGGTATATAGCCTCTAGAAAAGATTCAACATCTGTGAGGACACCCCTGCCCTCCACTGCTTGGGATCAGAGAGTTCGCTTGAGTTGTCCCAGCTGGTCAAGCTGTGGGAAGGAAGGGACTTCCAAGCCTAGAACCAAAGAAGGAGTAGAGCTGGGTGGGCCTTCCCAGCATCAGGGGCCTGCCTTCTCTATCTTATGTATGCTTCCCTTCATCTCAAATTCTTCTGGAGCCTGACTTTCCCTTTTTCTCTTGCTCATTCATTTATTCAATAAATACTCATTTAGTGCCAACCCTGGGCTGGGTCCTAGGACTATAACTATAGGCTCTAGTCTAAGGATATAACAGGGTTGGGTCCTAGAGACCTGTCTGGCAGATGTTAGCCCATCAACTGCTGGATTAGGGGAGATCTACAGAGGTTTCCCCTGGAAGGGCAGGAGAGCTGGGCCAGCATATGATCAGCACATGAGACTTGGGAAACAGGCTTTTGCTAGCTGTAAGGTGTGACTTTCATATTTTAACAATATGTGATGGGTACCAGCTGGCATCCTCTTTAGTCCAACAGAGAACCAGCCCTGAGTGTTGTCCCAAAGGCTTCTCTGCCAGGCTCCTTTTAAGAGGACCCCTCTGACCCTTCACCCACCAAGCACTATGAGAGACTGAGTCCTGGCTTGCTTTCCAATCACCAGCTAATGCCAGGCCCTTGGTCTTCCTTCCTGCCTCCTACGGTCCTGTGGAATGGTGTTTTACCCCTCACTCCTTCCAAACTGCAGGCCTCTGGGGGACCTCTGACTATATCGCCAGCTCCCATTCTGTCTGGTCTGATGTCTGCCCAATCTTTGACTTTCCATCTCCAACTTCCAGTCATGACTAGCCAAACATCTGAAGGCCATGGGGAACTGCTATCTGCTGCTTGCTGTGGCCCAGCCTGGACAGGTTATACCTGGGGATCAAGTGTTTGAGGTTACTGAGTAACTCAAGGTTGCTCAAGTCTACTCTCTACCAGAATTGCCTCCTTTCTACTCCCTGCTGTCTTGGCTCAGGAATCCCAGAAACCACAGTCTCCTTTAGACTCATTGAACTATCTCCAGCGTGTTTTGGAAGCAAAGAAGGAAATGAGCACAGCTGCTGTCACACAGGGACCCTTTTCCCCTCAGACTGTTTTGTTCTTTTTTTTTTTTTGTCTGAGACAGGGTCTCAACACCAGCTGCCCTGGAACTCACTATGTAGACTAGGCTGGCCTGGAACTCTCAGAGATCCACTTGCCTCTGCCTCGCAACATGTGATTAAAGACATGTGCCAAACAGAAAGACTTTTTTCATTCATTTCTTCATTTAGTACCTTTTTCCACGTTTTATTCATTTCTTCATTCTTTCCATTCATTCATTCATTCTTCATTTAATACACTCCCCTTGCATTGCTGCTGTGTGCCAGGTGCTGTGTGGGTCATGTCTTCCACACTCGTTATAATTAAACATGCTGTGCTGTGTTTCTAGGGCCAAAGGCTGAACAAGATATACACTAAGTTTCTGAGTTACTGCAGTGGCACTGTTGCAATGATTGATGGCCCAGCAGTTAAGAGCACTTATTGCTCTTGCAGAGAACCCAGGTTCAGTTCCCAGCACCCACATGGTGGCTCACAACCACCTGTAACTCCAGTTCCAGGGGCTTCAGTGCCTTCTTTTGGCCTCCACAGGCTCCTGCATGCACATGGTATACATATACTCACACAGACTCACACACATACCATTAAAGGGGGGAGCACAGACACCCACATAGAGAAGGGAGAGAACTAGCTCCCACAAGTTTTCCTCTGAGCCCCACACATACACCATGGCACATGCATATGTGTGCACATACATGCACAATAAATAAATAAAAATAAAAAAATAATTTTAAATAATTTAAATAATAAATAATAATTTTTAAATTATTTTTAAAAATAATTTTTGGCAGTTTTTTTGTGACAGAAATTTCCCTGTAGCCCCAGCTAGCCTGGAACTCCTTATGTAGACCAGGCTGGCCTCAATCTCACAGAAATCCACCTGCTTCTACCTCCTAAGTACTGGAATTAAAGGTATGCACCACCACACCTGGTTTGTGAATGCCAACACCTGGAGGCAGAGGCAGGTGGATTTCTGTGAGTTTGAGGCCAGCCAGGGCTGCACAGTGAGAACCTGTCTCAAAAAAAAAAAAAAAATCGTGTTCCTGCTGGAGATCTGTAGTTGAGACCTTAAAAAGGAAAAGTTTGAAAGGCAGAGGGTAAGAACATGGCCCCAAGCAAGAGGGACAAGAACCAGAGTCCTCGATTTATCCAGATGAGATTTTAGATGATTTGCTTAATGCAACATGAGCCTCGATTTCTGGTTTTGCTCTATAGAGATACTGACTATGCTAACCTCGTAGGAGTTCATGACAGGCTGTTGGCCCCAAAGCATCAACATGGCTATTACTGTCACCACTAAGGAAATGTGAATAAATTGGATGTTTTTTTTATTCCTCCTACTAGTTGTAGAACTGTTAGCTTGCTGATTGTTGAAACAGGGTGTATTAGTCAGGGTTCTCCAAAGAAACAGAACCGGCAGAATGAATATATATGTATAGAGATTTATCAGCTTAGCTCAGGATAGAGTTCGAGTAGTCCAACAATGGCTGCACCACACTGGAGAGGCTGAGAATCTGTAGTTGCTCAGTCCACAAGGCTGGATGTCTCAGTAGTCCCATTCTGGCGCTGAAGGTCTGATAAATTCCAAAAGATCAGCTAGTCTTCAGTTTACAGCAACAAGACAAACTCACCAGTGAGAGAGAAGGCAAGCAGCAAGAAGCCAGGCGGTCTCCTCTGCCATGGCCTTTTATACCGGCTGCCATCAGAAGGTAACACCCACATTTACGGTGTGTCTTCCAGCTTCAGATGATCCAATCAAGATCTCTCTCTCATTTCAGTTAATCCCAGATCCAGTCAAGTTGACACCCAGGATTAGCCGTCACACAGGGTCTCAGTTCTTGTTTTTTGCTTTTTTGCTTCTTGATTTTTTTTGAAACAGGGTCTCACTGTGAAGCCTAGGATGTCCTGAAACTGGCTGGCCTGAACTCACTATGTAGGCTAGGCTGGTCTGGAACTTGCAGAGATCTGCCTGCCTCTGCCTGGGATTAAAGGCAAGTGCTACTGCATCCTGCATTTTTTTTTTTAAAGACAGGGTCTCCAGATTTGATTCCCAGCACCCACATGGCAGCTAACAACCATCCCTAACTCCAGGCCCAGGGTATCTGACACCTGCTTCTGGCCTCCTCAGACATTTCATGACACAAGTGCACTTACATACACACAGGCACAACGTTCATACACATAAAATAAAGTAAAATAAATAAAGACAGGGTCTCATGTAGTCCAGTCTGTCCCCTCAAACTTACTATGTAGCCAAAGCTGACTTTAAACTCCTGATCCTCCTGCCACATCCAGCTTGGTCTTTTTGAGACAAGGTCTCCCTGTAGCCCCAGCTGGCGTGGAACTCACTATGTAGACCAGGCTGACCTTGAACTCACAGAGATTGGAGTGCTGGGATTAAAGGCGTGTGTCACCATTGCCAGGCTATTTTGTCATTTTTCGGGGGTAAGGGAATAGGTGTTGGAGCCTTCCTCTATAATTAAATCTTTTTTTTCCTTCTTTCTAATCATACAAGGTGACAGGACACCTTGTCCAGCTTAGTCTTTAAAAAATTTTTTTATTCTTTTTATTTTATGTGTATGCATATATTACCTGCATGTATGCAAGTGTACCCATGTTGTACAATGTTCACAGAGATAAGAAGAGGGCATTGGATCCCCTGAAACTGGAGTTATGGACAGCTCTTGGCTGCCATGTGGGTGCTAGGAATCA